AAAAATTTCAAAACTGAAGCAACAGTGCAAAAACGCAATCTATATTAAAATAACTGTCGATATATAATCATTTCGTGTTAACCACTTTGGATTAAACATATTCGTAGAACAAACATTTTTCAGCTCAAAAATCTTCAGCTGTCACTGCATATTCTAGATCTACTCAAAATTTTGAAAAAAAATCGTTATCGTAACTGAATTCGTTATCAGAAGGAGAAAAATCATTCCTTGGAAAAGTAGGACTTAAGACATGAACCCTTTTTTAAATTCTAACACGGGATGGGATCAAGAAAACGATTCGACTCGGCTAGGCGAGTGTTGAAGTAATTTTCAAATATTTAACTGTTTGCTCGAAAGTATACACAGCCTTTGCTACTGTTGTTTCAAACGCATAACTATCCCGTGTTAATAGGAAATGAAGCAAACATGCGACAGTTATTCGTTTTTGGGTCAGTTTGTTTGATTTATCTAGTTATGCACCGTTTTTCGCTATAGGTTTACTTTATTATCACCTCATGGAAAAATTAAAGGCCACGTTCATTAAGCGTGAGCAAAAATCACATATAATATCGGGCAAAGACACGTTTAAGGAAAATCGAACCGCACAGTAAAACATATTTGGCAAAGATACACTCAGCAAACTAGGCTAACGATTCATAAGATAGACTTGTGATTTTTAGCCACAAGAAATCGATATAAATTTCAATAATTGCCTTAGGAAACATAATTTTGTCCATAATTCGAAATACAATGAAAATTTTAAGTTAGTTGTATGAAAATTAAAAAAGTATTATGAAATCGAACCATGAGTTTATTGGGTTCGGTTTGGTGTCTTGTGGTCACGTCTATCAACGCTTAGGAAATCATATATGCTATAAGAGCCACAGTACCTCGCTATGCGATTATCATTGATTAGGCACCTTCTTACACCTTTAATGAAATCATAACTATGAATTCATAATAATTACATGATGTTGCTGATTTTAACGGCGCCGGTGGTGTAGTGGTAAGCGTGATTACCTCTCACCCCAGTAGGCCTGGGTTCAATCCCAGTCGGCGCCGCCGGGATGTTCTGAGGCATAACATCTCTGATCACGCCTTCCTTCGGATGGGAAGTAAAGCCGTTGGTCTCCGGTTCATGAGTTGATGGGTCGATAGGTAGGGTCCAGGTGTGGGAGCTGCCTTCCTGGCACGTCGGTAGCATTGGTGCTCAGCACGGAAAACAAGATCGACGGAAAAAACAAACCAAAAAAAAAATTTTGCTGATTTTGGAAAATATTAAGTTGAATTTCAGCAACAAAATTTAATTTGTTGTTGGGAAGTGTAGGCTTCATGTGGCACTGTAAGCATTGTCATAGTCATCAAAATTCTAAGGACCTTAGAAAACAGTAATTACTTCTTTCCAACCATTCCTCCTCTTACACAGATTTGAAGAGTATGTTTACATACTGGAATACACATCCCAAAACATGCAGTACTTTAATCAAACTTGAAAAAGCTCATCCGCAACACAACACAGAGATGTGGAAATATCAATTATAAATATCAAAAGGAAATCAAATTAAAAACATTTCCCAATCCTCAATTATTATCAGCCATCATGGGTTTTCCGCACATTTCCGACTGATTCTCCCGGTATGGCAGAGGGCAGGAGAATGAACTCAGCCAGCCCGAACCAAGCACACAGAAGGAACGGCATAGGCCGAATTCTCTTTTCCCGTTTCCATAAGAATGCCAGCAGCGCTGAACACATCGTCTATTTAATGAATCTGTGCAACATGCTCCCTTCTCCCACCGTTTACGTCCTTACACATCGTCATTCCCATCGCGTTTCGAAAAACATTAATTTCTATGTTTATGCGCGCACTGTGCATGCCACTGCCAGTTCCGCACAGCACACTGGATATGATGCCGGTTTCAGCTTATGCTCTTCGGCTTCGCGGTTCCAATTTGAAAGCCACTGGGGTAAACGCAGATTTCATTTTTGCTTCATTCTTATTGCTGACTGCAAGGGTTGCACTCAGGATGGAAATATAGAAAATGGTGTTTAAATCCCTTAGAAGTGAGCACAATTTCCAGAAAGTGGCGCTACTAGTAGTGGCGCTACTACTAATGGCGTTTCTTTGTGGTGTAATATGATGGGGGAGGGGGGGCAGGTATACCCCTCATTACATATGGCGATGTGTGAATATTAGGCCGGTTTAGATATTCCTCATTGCATTTAAAGACTCGTGCATACAGTGACGTAGTTAGGGGGTAGCGAAAACGGCTCCTACCAAGGACGGCATGTTAAAGGGTCGAATTTAACGAGTTTCTACTAAGCAACTTTTCTATTAGATGCATTCCAGAGGCAGAAGTGCATAGCGAACTACTAATAATATCATTATTCAGAATTTAAAAATAAATAAATGAAAGTTTAAGAATCTTGAAAACATATTTTTCTTCATAGGCAATTTTTAACGAGAAATATCCTTCCAAAATGTCTACTGAAAGTAATACCGAAATTGCGGAAAGAAATATAATTATATTAAGTTAAAACTTATAGAAATTACTGATATCATCGATCTTGTTTTCCGTACTGAGTACCCATGCTACCGACGCCAGGGAGGCAGCTCCCACACCTATCGACCCATCAACTCATGGACCGGGGACAAAGAGATTTATGCCTCGGAAAATCCCGACGACGCCGACTGGGATTGAACCCAGGCCCTTTGGGGTGAGAGGCAGTTACGCTTACCACTTAAGTAACCAACAAGACTGATAAATTGCCTTTTTGCAATATAAGGCTGATTCACGGCTAACATATGCCATGCTAAGCTTTATATTATACGCATATTAGCCTTATATTGCATAAAGGCGAATTAGCGGGCTTGTTGGTTACTTGGGCACTACACCACCGGTGCCACTAGAAATACTGAAATTGCCGATCATTGAAAAATGTCCACGATTCCATTACTGAAATCTTAACCGTGATTGGTCCCTGAAATTTAAAATTATGAGGAAAATTTCAGTTAATATTTTGAGACTTAGGAATAAATTAGAAAGAGCTGATATTTTTGTAGTTTGCAAGGGTGCAGCAAACTCTCACTGAAAAATACATTTAATTTTATACCACTGAAATTCGTAGAAACTAAAATATATTTCATATATTTTCTACAGGCGTTAACTTGCGGAATCGATTTGAAATAGTTTCATCCTGAGGAGAAAACAGGAAGTTTGAATATTTTGCTTTTTCTTTCTAATCATTTTTTTTCCTTGAGAATAAAAATGCAAAAAACTCTTACTTCCTATATTCTCCCCAGGATGAAACCATTTCCATTCGATTCTTAAAGTTATTTACCGACAGAAAAGATATGAACCATATTTGTGATTCAGCGAGTTTAGGATATGTTACAAATTAAAATGTATTTTTTCGTTATTTTTTCAATTCTGCGCTGCCTTCATTAGCAGGAACAAGTAATGGTATCTGTTTAAGTCTTGTAAAATTCATAAAGCTCTGACCGAAACATATTTGAAAAACCTATGCCAGTACTGCCCTTTATGATGTTCACTTTACTTCACATTTTATACGGTGACAAGTCAATTATACTTGACCCTCCCCAATTTCCAATACAATATCAATATAACAATATCCCAAACATTGATTGTAAAAATAGAAAAAAAGGAATGTTTGATATGTTTCTACTTAAGTTCGAAAAAAAAATACGAACTTTTCAAAACTTTCCGCTTCAAAATTGACATCACGTACAACATACGTACAACATCAAATCTTAGCAAAAAATCATATTTTTGAGCATTGTTAAAATCAGTAGTTGTACATAAACCATGATACAGTATGAACAAAGCAAGAAACCTCATACATTTTGTATGAAAGTTTTGGAATTTTTTGTGGAGCATACTATAATAAAATTTAACTCATAATTACTTATTTCGCAAAGAGGAAGAGGAATAAATTGTTTGGTCCTTAACCTTTCTTTTTAGGAAAACAGTGTCTTCAGTTATTGTTTGTTTCATTTGTTCAAGACAAGCTTTTGATGTGAAAAAAATTGTAGTTATTGAGTGAATATCATCTTTTTAATAAGTTTAAATAGTAAGGCACAATGTTCGACAAAGTTGAAGAACAATTTATTTTAAGCAACGTTGTTAAATAAATCAATTTTCTATCTCTAATGGTTCACGTAACATAGACTGACTTCTAAAACATATTTTTTTAAGGATAAGAGATTTCTAGCTCTTTGGCTGGTTCTTCTCGTACCTAAAAAAATTCTATACATTAAACATTATGTACATTCATTAGTATAATACTCGTAAATGATTTATTCTAGACAGTTTAAATATTTTTATTTGTTCTCATTTTTGCTGAACAATGTTGCTCTCTGTTTTTGTTGCAAAGTTCTAAACAATTTTCGTTAAAAACTACGTCCATTTCAAACAAAATATCAAAATACTGATCACAAATTTTTCAAACTGAAACCAGCTGTACTATGTGGAGCAGCATGGTAAATTCGGACCGGTCTAGTGGATATCCGTATGTACAAAGAGAGCATTTAAAATTAAAACGACCGAATCCGCCGACAACATGTAGACAAGTTCCATAGCCCTTTTTGTAGCTGTGCTCCCTTTTGCATTGAAACCACGGCCATTCGTTTGCGGAAGCTCATCGCACAGAAAGGCACAAGCCATATTGGAATGAAAGCGGGCATTCAAATGGAAAATTATCTTCCTTTTTTCTTCAATTTAATCTTTTCATCTTTCGCCACGATCAGCCATTATACTCCTTGACTTTAATGCTATTCAAGGGCTTCGGCAAGAGATTGTCTTTGCCACGATAATTGAGCCTGTCTTAATCGAAGCCACTCTTATTCGACAGTGCTTCCTAATGTATAAACGCTGTAGTTGAGAAGTCTCTCTGGAAACCTCGGTAGGCGAAGACAAAGAAAAGCTATTCAAGTGAGAGAGCAAATTCGAAATACACCCACTAGAAACCCTCAGCAACTTACAGATTCACAAGAGTATGTCGATGCTGAATCATAGTCCGACCAGCTGTAATCCATTCTCGAATCGCTGCCACCGGAAACGGATGTACGATCACCTATCCACTGTATTCCAATGATCAGTTGGTTATTCTTATCAACACCTCATTCAACATTATCACTTCATTTGCCAACATCAAACATTCTCATTTTGCACAATTCTTATCTCACACTATTGAATTTATGTTAATTGCTTTTTCGCCTGGTTATAGTTTTGAGTTGATCTCGTTTTTTCGCTAGTAAATTAGAATCCAATTCCACCAATAAGCACTATAATTTGTCCAATAAAAAAAACACACGCTTAGAGGGCAGCAATATACACCCTTCACGCAATTGCCAAGAAAACACATTCGAACCGAACTCCAACTCTCGCCGCTAACACTCTCGACACGCGATTCTTACACACCAACGTCGTACACTAGACTAACCGAATGGAAGAATTAACTTTTAAAAGAACATGAAATTTTATTCCAAATATGTATATATGAGAGAAGCACTGAAAGGTATGTTTATTATTCGTTCACAACTACCAACAACGCTCAATGCTGGCGACATACAATGAAAAACGTGAAGAATGGTACATGTTCCAATGTGTAAGTATGCACAAATACCATCCAGAGAGATCTGTTCTGCGGCTTGAGGCTTACGATCACTATTACTAAAATTTCCGATGCACTGGCTGCAACCCGCAATGCATTGATCTATATAAACATACATTCTTGCAACATATTTATAAGAACTTTTCTTGATGCATTCGACAAATTTCTACTGATTTTCCAACAAATCAACTCAACGAATGTCTTCAAAAAACCATCCTGCCAACCCCCAAAAACCTACCACCGATGAGTCATCGTTTCACTTGCTCCCACCCCACCCTTAATCAAAATGTGATCCCTTTTATTACTTCCGCACATCCGCACGTGAATCCAGAAACATTATCAAATAACCATTCATTATTGTCCTCATATAGAGCGCAAAAATTCATTCTCCACCACAACTCTATACGGCGGCGCAGTGTTGTTTACGGCTCTTCTAAACAGTGAGAGCAACATAAAACCACAGCATAAAGTAAATCTCCTGCCAGTTTCACAGATCGAGGGACAATGTGAATGTTCCTTCAAATAAAGCACGCAATATGTCAAATTCAATTCGACCATGGTTTTATAATCGTCCTATGGGTGGAGGTTGAATGAATTAACACTGCGAGAATTTATGGAAAGAATTTGAGTTTACTGCCTGTGTAAATGATTCCATGGTCACTTGAAGTAGCTGAATGCTTGAAGTAGCAAAATAAACTAAAGGCATCAATAACGCTAAACGTGCGCTAACTGAAAGGGACTGTTTTTAGTTTTTTTTTAATTGTCTCTTTCTTCAGCCCTTCTTTGAAAACTGTAAAAACAAAAGTTTCAACATTACATAGGTACGAAAAGCTGAAAAGAAAATATTCAAAAAGTCACTTTCAGTAAGGGAACGTTTAAAGTATTGAAAAGTTAAGTTGAACCAAAAAAAAGGACGATATAGGGGAAATGGATGTAATGTCGGCCTAAATGCCCCTAATTTGGGCCCATACATAAATTCAGCAATCGACTAAATTTTCAATAGGGACCAAAATATCCATTAGTACCGTCCCAATGACGCGTTCATCTAGATAAAATTGATAAATAGCAGATTTTTAGCCATGGGCAAAATCAGATCCATAGGGCAACATAAGAGCCATTTCCCATAATAAAAGATAAATGAACAATTTTGCATGGAGGAGCATAACAACAACGTTCAAAATATCAATTATTGCCATTTTTTTTATAGCATTTCTTGACTATAAGTAATTTATCAACAGTGAAATCAACAAAACATATTTTTTGTCGTTTTATCTCATCTTTATAACCACAAAAATGGTTGTAAGACGAAAGGTCGATGGATAAAAGATCGAAAGACAATAGTAAAAATGACAAAAAGTCGAATGGACAATAGGTCGAAGGAACAAAAGGTCGTTGGTGTATAAGGTCGAATATCCCGGTGGTACCCAATATTATTGTTATTGAACCTTCATGATGTATGCTACGTCACATGATATGTTTTGTTTGGATACTTTCTAAAGGGCCTCATAGCCTAGTCAGTAAAGGCACGGTATTACCAAGCCGGAGGCGGCGGGTTCGATTCCCCGGTCCGGTCGAGGGAATCTTTCGGGTTGGAAATTTTCTCGATTTCCCTGGGGATAGAGTATCATTGTGCTTTCCACACAATATACAAATTCATGCATTGGTAGTGGCATCGAAAGCTCTCAAAGTGTTTGAAAAAATCATCAGACAGAGTCCACAAATATAAAATGTCAATATCAGGTGGTGGTAGCTGCTGTGATTGCGGAGATCAGGAAGCATGGAAACGGGATCCGTCCTGTGAGGATCATAACCCGAGCAAAGTCGGATATCAAAATACTATCTAAATTATAATAAATTATGTGTTTGAAATCATGTTCATTGATATGCTATTTTTTTTTAAATTTCGGTTGAATTCCTATTTTGATATTTCTAAAAATATAATTAAAAACAAAATTTGATATTTTATAAAAATCACTGAACAATTTTTTTTTGTTTTCTTTCCAGACAATCATGATGCTTGTTGTTTTTTTTTATGAACATCACAAAGACAATTATGATTTTTACAGTTATATTTTGCAACATTATTGATATGCGAATTGAATCTACAATTTGATATAAAATTGATTTCGTCATGTTCGTCTTTAATGCTTATACTAATACATTGTCGAATATTCTTTCGTAGGCTTAGTCGATTTCTTAGCTCATATTTAAATATATGTTGTCATAAATCTAATTAACTATCAGTTCTCTCCCAACAAAATAAATTTCAATAATTCATGTCAGTGGAAATATGTTTGATGCGAAGAAATTGATCATTCATCATAATACAACAGTCATCGTAGCTTAATTTTTTACATGATTCGTGTGTCCTATATTGAATATAATTCCACTAGAATTTGCCATTAAAACAAAAACTCTAAATTTTAAATATTCACATCGTGTATTTCTATGCTATTGTCGTTCGTCATATTTTTACTGTTGGGTTTTCTTCGGGTACCAAATTCGCGAATGCCAGTTTTTGATTAGAGGTGAGCCTGTTATTTGTCTATAATGACAAAAGCGATTCATTATAAACTTGCTTGTAATTTATACCACTGGATGATTATTTCCGGTTCTGTTCTTTAATATGGCACCATTAGCACATTATTAATAACATTTTTTTTTTTGAATCTCGAGATCAACCAATAGATTTTAAAACATTCAGATTACTTAATTTGAAATCATGATAACGAAATAATAGCTAATTTAGATTTTTGTTTGTTTTCCTACCATAGTTATAATAACATATTGATTAGTTATTTTGTTTATTATTAACGAAATTACTAATATCAAAACGCATACATGGATTTGTTATCAAGAAATCAATATTTTTATATTTTTAATATCCTTCATATACCATTTAGATCTCATTTTTGTTATGGTTACCGGTAACTCGACCACATAGTAGGCAAAATATATTATCATGAACGCTTGTATCAAAATATCAAATTTAGTTTTCATTTTGTTTTCATTCTATGCTGATGATATGTGCAGAGCCACGAGGGCCAACGTCCCGTGAGAGGGTGGATAGACGCAGCAAATTTATGTCATCAAACAGAACACATTCGACTTTGGACTACAAACAGCTGAGTGGACATACGAGACGAATAATGCCCTGGATGCGAAGTGCAATTATCGGTAAAAACAACAAATTCATTTTTATGCAAGGTTGCACTTGGGATCTAGGTGGCGACGGTATGACGGGTTAGAGTCATGAGGTAGGGGAAAAGGCTCTAATGTTGGCCTATGGATCTAAGATTGGGCCCATCGCTAAAAATCTGCTATTTATCAATATTATTTAGATGAACGCGTCATTCGGACGGTACTAATGGATACTTTTGGTCGCTATTGAAAATTTAGTCAATTGCTGAATTTATGTATGGGCCCAAATTAGAGACATTTAGGTCGACATTACATCCAGTTCCCCTATATGAAATAAACGAAGACAAAAAAAAACGATCGGTGAACGACCGGTAATAATAACATTACGGAAAAAATATGCACGCGACGCGCGCAGCTAAGGAGCGACGAGAATGAGAGTAGAGAGGGTAAGAATGCCCAAAGAATTATGTACGTAGTAAATAGGTTTAGGATAGTATAAAAAAATTGATTAATTAATAAACGGAGAAGTATTCTCCAACTCGAAAAAGGATTCGGTAGTCGCGTAGGTTCGGACGTGAATTATTTCCGACTTCGAAACCCGTTTTTGTGGAAGGAGAGTCGACTTCAGTATTTGTTCCCGGGTAAGGGTAACACACATGTCAATGCAAGAAAGTTTGTTTTCGTTGAAGGAAGTATCACAACATAGGTAATTGCTATTAGCTATTTTTGCAGACAGTGACAGATGGTGGACATGAAGATCCAGTGGAGATACCGGGAAATTTTTTACATCCTAGACAAATGGTAAGATCCAAGCTGTTGTCGCCGTTGGCAGTACCATTTGTATATTTAAGGTGATTCGCTGTGAGATCCTGTGAGAAAGTAATGGATGTAATCTCGACCTAAATGCCCCTAATTTGGGCCCATACATAAATGCAGAAATCGCCATTTCCCCTATATCATAACAGACTCAAACAGACGTAATTTACATCGACTTGTAAGCTATATTCGATAAGCTCCATGCAATTGTGATTGCTAAATTAGTTACACGCAGAAAAATGGATTTTTGTTTCACACAGCAAAAAAATAATTTTGATATCACATCAAAGTGGATGCACTACAATCATGTCGAAAATTTCATGTAATTTTTATGACCACATAAATAAACAAATGCAGTAAAAGCAGCGTAATGTCAGTTCATGCATTGTATTAATGATAATTTTGTCCTTTTTAGCAAGTAATATTACACCATATTTTCGACATGATTGTAGTGCATCCACTTTGACGTGATATCAAAATTATTTTTTTGCTGTGCAGGGCCTAATGTATTTTGTTATTGATTCAAACATATTGTATCACTATTTCAACGAAACATATTTTTGAATCAACAAAATGGTTTTTGGAATCAACAAACAGATTATTGACTCTACAACCGGTTTGTTGATCTAAAAATATTACAGAATATAAACCGAATAATATATTTGAATCAATACCAAAAATATATTAGGCCCTGAGCCAAAAATATATCCATTTGAATATAAAAATCATTTCTCTGTGTGTAGACTAAAGGTAGTGTAAAATGGAGTAAGATTACTTTTTTGGGGTTTAAAATACCTTTCATTTTTGAAGGACATTGTTGGTACAATTTCGAACTAGCAATACTGAATGATAAA